AGTCTATCTGTTGACAATTTGGGAAGGCTAATGTAAATAACCACTCTTTTCACTTGGCCTCCATTGCTAAGACCATGAATGAGAAACTGACATTATCTCTTCTTTGTGTTTTCTTCACAAATTGTTTCTACTTCCCTAAAGTCAACTTACACATGAAATGCGATTTTCATTTTTCTTTTGTCACCAAAGTTAAGTTTCTATCTCATTGCATTAAATCCTTTTTTCAGTTACGAGACAAGGATGCTGTTGAAACAAAGAAAGGGTATATATGATCTATTCCATAGTGTTTCTTTCACAAAGCTGTATGACAGAGACCACTACGAAAACGTTAAAACTGAGATAAATCAAATAAAATACGTTTTCTATATATTACGGAAATTGTTTGGTTTAGTTTGTTTTGCATATTCACGCAAAGTTACACAAGAGCTATGTGCAAAAACTGTTCCTGCTTCTGAATTATAGTCCTACCTCCTACTCTGAGAGCACTTTTTGTTGTTGTTATTTTATTTTCGTGCGTGTACGGCGACCACGCACCTTCGGATCCACAGTCTGGCATGCTAACCACTAGGCCAAACATGGCTTATGGAAACTGCAAACCAAAGAATGTGCGAAGCATTTTAACAGGTTAGTGCTAACCAAAAGCCGAAATCAATTTTAAAAATTGTTTAAAAAAAGAGATAGAGGTTCTAACTGACAAGTTTCTCATGTTTTGAATCTAAACGTTTCTTCATCGGCAAACCCAAACTCCAAACACATTTCTCAGGCTTTTAACATATGCAGTATTAAGATATACTGATTTCCGACAAATAAGCTGTAAATCCCGCCAAGAACAACTGGTTTGACAGAAATTGTTCTGCGGAAAATAAATCACATTCGGGTTAGTGAAAGAACGAGTTGTGTCCAAGTTCTTTCATACAATTTTTGATCAAAGCCATCTACTATTGCAGGCGAGTTTGGTTGTTTGTTTTGAATTTTGTGCAAAGCTACACAAGGGCTATCTGTGCTAGCCGTCCCTAATTTAGCAGTGAAAGACTAGAGGGAAGGCACCCACCACTAACTCTTGGGCTACTTTGTTACCAACGAATAGTGGGATTGACCGTCACGTTATAATGCCCCCACGGCTGAAAGGGCGGGCATGTTTGGTGGGACGGGGATTCGAACCAGCAACTCTTAGATTGCGAGTCGAGAGCCCTAACCACCTGGACATGCTGGGCCCTTATAAGTGAAAACTAAAAAATAACCCAGTAAATAATGTACCTAATTTAACATACAAGTATAACCAGGAAAGAACAGTGTCATAAAACAAATGCTTAAAATGATTAGAATACATTTATTTACCAGTTGGGTAACATCATAATTAAATTTCCAAAAATGAATTGAGTAAACTAATATATAGATAAATATGGATTTCATCACGAATATCTTTAACTAATTATATATTACGTTTAGTGTACACTATTTCCCACTTTACATCCTATTCATGTAAATAAAAAGCTTAAAAATATACCTAAGATATTACGAAACAGGTACAGGAAATATGATAAAAGTTATGGAAGATTATACAGTTAATATTTTATTATATAATGACACAGTTAATATTTCATTATATAATTATAAAGTTAATATTTTATTATATTGTTACGCCCCTTCCTTAAGTGTCTGCTCACATTTAGAGAAATTGGCCACTGTTATAGGTACTACTTGACGACCTGCTACAAGTGACCTTCCAATCTTCCAATCCGCTGGCCTGGATGGGTCTTCCACTGCTTCCACAAGCATTGGGCTTCCTTGGGGATGTTCTTTTATCCTACCCCAAATTATCTTCTCTGACATAGGGGGGTAATGTAGTTGACTTAAGTGCTGTGACATGCAGATCAACAGATGCACCAACACTTACTGGAATCTGGCCTTTGTTGTTTCCAAACGTCATTTTATCGGTTAACTACACACTTCGTCGGTAGTAAACAGTCCAATCCTAATATGCATTGGTCTTCAATGTCAGTATACTCTCTGTCTGTTCTTCATGTCCACGAGCTCAATAGTTACCCACACTGGTCCCCACAACCTTGCATAATGTCCTGTCACACCATAGAGCTTCTGTACAGCTTCTGGTACTCCTTTGTGATCCAGCACCTTGATACTCACCAGCGTTTGCTGAGATGCAGAATCTATGACAAAGTTGCACCTTTGGCCATCCAGCTTCCCTGTCACGTAGACACTATGTGTGCTTGCCATTTTACACTTAGCTGTTGGGACTTTCACGATGGGGGTTCGTGGGATCCCTCAGCACCAACCACTGAAGTTTCCCGAAGCTGACTTATTGGTAGTATTCTTCTTACATTGGCTCCTCTGTCCATCCGTTCATCTCTGCCAGTAACTCAAACTGTGCTCTATATGCTTCCCATATGCTCCTCCACAGT